GTAGCATAGTGCAGTGGTTGCTATATCATTGCAAAGCTGAGATAATTCTGATTTTTATTATCCCAAAACCTAATCTCTGAAATATGGAAGCTACTCTTCTCTTAGACTCTCACTTTGTGTGAGCAGCAGTCAGTTGTTCTACCTGTCACCATATGTCGATGAACAATGCTATGTTATTTGCAGTACATAATCATTTCCTGACCAATTGTGCAATTGCATAATTTCCCATGGAACACCTGATGATCGCATGCGCTGCACCAGTCATTGGAAATCGCTGCTTTCGTGCAATGTGTGTACTCAAGTAGAATTGCCTTGCCAAGCTCATTTGGCTGCATTTCATGCTGTGTGTGTCTCACACAGGTGGCCAGCAATGGGAATTCATGGAGACAAGAGCCAGCAGGAGAGAGACTGGGTCCTTAATGGTGAGAATGACATGATAGGAACTTAGCTCTCTGATGCTCCTTTTCCACTGCACAACACAGCTCTACTTGCTATTGGTGCTTAGAAATTGGCAAAAGCAAATACTCTTTGCTGCTCACTCAGTGGTTGTGCAGATTCATAGATTCATCTTGACTTTTGAGAATACACAACTAGAAATGAGAAAAATAAACGCATGCTAAAGTTAGCTTACCTTGTTGGTCTGCCTTGGACATTGAAAGCCAAGCCGGTTCTATGCAGTGGAAAAGCAACCATTGTAATCACCTCTTCTTTAATTCCATTCCACGTTGCTCCCTTTAGAGTTCCGATACGGCAAAGCACCGATACTCATCGCCACAGATGTGGCCTCCCGCGGCTTAGGTCAGTTGGTCATTAAGCGGCACCATTTCCTGTGACACATGTAATTTAAAGAAAGTGTTTTTGCTTTCTTTAACTTGTCTATGCATTTTCTGAGTTTTTCTCACCTTAAGGTGGAGTCTTTGTGGCAGGCACTAGGCATGACAGTCCCAGGCCTGGAGAGGGAGAAGGATGACATATTGGAAGTGCTCAACTGGCTTGCCACCCAGTGGGCCTAGAGAGGTGAAAGCTCTTGTGTGCCAGTGATTTTTTTTCAAAAGGCTCTGTGGCTAAGCCTTTGTCTCCGACATGTTGAAATACACACACACATCTGTTCTCTGTCCGTGGATTTCGCCCGACAACTGCCATCCAGCTGTTTCCGACTCAAACGTAACCACCCCACCACCACCTCCAACACCCTGGGTCCCTCCCAAAAAAAATGCTTGCTGTATGCTGTTGTGTCTGAAAGCGCTCTACAGTATTGCAAGTCCGTTTGAGATTTGGAACAATTGTTACCTTTCGGAGTTTGTATAAGCCTAGCGTGGGTGCTCGTCGCAGCTTTTGGTTACTGCCTGTTCCCGTCAAAGTGCTGGATTCCTTGAACTGGAGAGAGCAGTATGAGAACTTGTATAATGTCTCTGAAAATTGATGAGACCTGGCACATGTGCTTAGGGGTTAGTGAGGAGAGAGTGAGAGACAGCTCAAACCAAAGTTCCTCCCTCGCCTGTATTTTAGAAGTCATGTCGAGACCTGCCAATGAGAGACATTTTCTCAAGTGAACACTGGCTTCTTGGGACATCTTGCCTTGATGACACTGATGAAGGGAGGGATTTGTTTTTGCTGAGGGGGGGGGGTCCCGCAAGGCTGTATGTTTTAAAGGGGCCCCTGTCAATTGAAGAGCTGATCTATTTGGTCTTGGCAAGACGTGCAGTGTGGCTTCTTTTGAGGGTGTACTGGGAAAAACCGACCTGCAAAATTTTGACAGCTGAATGGTCTGATATTGGCACATGAGGAGGCCCCAGTGCATATCCTGGCCCAACTGCGTAGATGAAGCTCCTGGATGTCACTTGACAACATGTGGGGGATTTGGCTGCATTGGGAAAGGACGAGTGAATGCATACTCCTTATGTGGTAAGCCTTAAACCATTTGCATTCTCCCTTGGTAACAAACGGGGGAGTGAATGTCTTTTTTTGGATCATTTGGACGATGGTAAGCAATGGGAGTGTGCATCGTTTCTCTCTTCCCACAGTAGTATTCCCATGGAGTAGATGTCAAATGATGCTGCTTTAACCCATTTTCTCCACAGCTGACCCACCACCTTCCTCCCCAGCCTTCACAGTTGCTAATGGTTTGCTTTGGTCTGGCTGTTGTGGTGTGCAAAATCCCCGTGTGGCCTCCATGTTTCGTTTTGCCACACTGCAACACTTTCACAGATGTGGAGGATGTGAAATTTGTCATCAATTATGACTACCCTAACTCCTCCGAGGATTATATCCACCGCATTGGACGCACAGCCCGGAGTCAAAAAACGGGCACAGCCTACACCTTCTTCACCCCCAACAACATGAAACAGGCAAGTGACCTGATCTCTGTGCTGCGCGAGGCCAACCAGGCCATTAACCCCAAGCTCATCCAAATGGCGGAGGACAGAGGAGGTATGAGAACACTTTGAATTAAATGGTGACAATTGACTGAAATGTACGATTTGACAGGGCTGCACCTCTTCTTCGTCCCATGTAGGTCGTGGAAGGGGGAGCCGAGGTGGATACAAAGATGACCGTCGAGATAGGTATTCTGGAGGTGGGCGTCGTGAGAACTTTGGTGGTGGAGGCTACAGGGACAGGGACAATGATAGAGGGTTTGGCAATGGGCCAAAGGGTGGCTTTGGGGGCAAGATGCAAAATGGGGGCGGCTATGGAGGCAACGGCGGTAACGCTGGTGGTAGCTATGGCAACAATTATGGCAACAGCAATGGCCAGGGTAACTTTGGTGCTCCGCCCAATCAGGTGGGAGCCTTTGGGAACCAAAGCTTTCAGGGCCAAGGCCCCCCTCAGTTTGGGGGCATGCAGAGACCTGGCCAGAATGGTATGAACCACCCGTTTCCTTATGTCCCTCAGCCCCCACCACCTCCACAGGCTCAACAGCCACCACCCCCGCCTCCAATGGCACCCTACCCCATGCCACCACCCTTTCCACAATAGTTGTCACACGATATATTGAACCCACTTGTTTTTGTTGCTTAGTTTAGTCGACAATAAGTCACACGTTGATGATATTTGGAGTTATATTCTTCCATGTTTAACTTTGTTTTTGCTTACTGCAGGTTTTGCGATTAATTCCGTAATACCAGAGCGTCTCCTACAGTGCAACAGTCATGTGCTGTACTTTTCCTTTATTGTTTTTTTGTGTTACATTCCTTAGTTATTTAACTAGGTGATGCCTTGTATTTTGTTTGTGTTATAAATGGTGAAAGTGATGTGATCAATATTTAAATGGTGCATATGTCCCTTTTTTTCCAATAAAAATAAAAGGTTGAAACTTGACTGTTTTGGGAAAATTGAGTCTGTGATGTTGCACACACCTATACAATGTGGGTATAAGAAGTCTATACACCTGGGATATTTATTGCTTGTAGGGTAATGTGACGCGCCATTTTTGTGTGTCACAAATGCAGCATCTGCTTGTCAGGATTATTACCACAAATGTCCATTGTATGCGTTGTTTCAAGTGGGATTAAGTTCAAGTGAAGTATCCACACAGTTAAAGTTCACGATTTTGCAGACGCAAAGACGAGCGTGATTGGTCTGTCCCAAGTGCGTATGTCCCGCCTTCGCCATCCCCAAAGCACGTAGTGCATATTTGGAATGGCTTGGAAATATGTTAAAAATGTAGATATGTTACACCCAATGCACCAAGTACGTATTTGGAATGACTTGGAAATATATTAAACATGTAGACACGCTGCTGATGCATTACAATGGGAAAAGCTGAAGAACCATCAGAACGTTTTTTATTTTCTTTATGTGGAAAAATCATTTGCGCAATAGCAACCTACTGCAGTGCAATCAGGTTTTGGTCAGGGTAGTAACCATGAGCCAGTGTAATCAAGTCATTTTGGTTTCCCCAAATAGAACTGACACGGTAAAAATGTGCATATTAAAACTCAAATAAATGACTGAAACATGAATTAGAACGATTTAATTTTCAGATCTGCGTCTTCCGAAGCTCGCATTTCCGACCACCTAGCGTAAATTGGCTGTCACTTCTATACTTAACACATATACAGGTATAAGACTTAACACTGTTCACTCAGTTACGTTCACAGTCCAAATTCGTCACGGTTAATGCGTTCCACAGAGGTTATATGAGGAGCTAAATTTAGAAGGCACACATCTAAGGAAACCCCAAGTGAGGAGAGTCCCACTCATAAACAGCTTCAACACAGACAGACCCTGTCGAGCCAAAAGGACGTTAATTCATTCATTTTCCGATCCGCTTATGCTCACAAGGGTCGCGGGGGAGTTGGGTGCTGGAGCCTATCCCAGCTGTCTTCGGGCAGTAGGCGGTGGACACGCTGAACCGGTTGCCAGCCAATCGCAGGCCAAACTGACGTCAAATTAGTGAGCTACTGTATAGTACCCAAACCGTGCAATAGATGGCGTTGTGGACAACGTACGCGAAGAAGCGATGGGAAGTAATAAAAAAACACTTCCGGGTTAGAAGCAGCCAACAAATTTGAAAAATAACGTGATACAGTAGTGTATTCTGTATTTACTAGATGAAAAACTAACACTGGCACGTACGATAAATGGTTTAAAAGTTTGAAATAAATTGTTTCGCGATGACAGACGAAAAAAAACCTTCTAGTTAACAATGCTACCTGTCACTTTCCTTAACTTTTTTTCCTCAACTCCTTTCACGAACTTTTTAAATGTGTTTATGTCAACATAGGTGCATGTGTAGGCACGCAACCGGTCGGATTATGTTTTCCTGACGGAGCCATCGTTTTGACAGATTTGGCGTTTTATCAACTCGTTGCTAACGCGGGGGAGTTGGGTGCTGGAGCCTATCCCAGCTGTCTTCGGGCAGTAGGCGGTGGACACGCTGAACCGGTTGCCAGCCAATCGCAGGCCAAACTGACGTCAAATTAGTGAGCTACTGTATAGTACCCAAACCGTGCAATAGATGGCGTTGTGGACAACGTACGCGAAGAAGCGATGGGAAGTAATAAAAAAACACTTCCGGGTTAGAAGCAGCCAACAAATTTGAAAAATAACGTGATACAGTAGTGTATTCTGTATTTACTAGATGAAAAACTAACACTGGCACGTACGATAAATGGTTTAAAAGTTTGAAATAAATTGTTTCGCGATGACAGACGAAAAAAAACCTTCTAGTTAACAATGCTACCTGTCACTTTCCTTAACTTTTTTTCCTCAACTCCTTTCACGAACTTTTTAAATGTGTTTATGTCAACATAGGTGCATGTGTAGGCACGCAACCGGTCGGATTATGTTTTCCTGACGGAGCCATCGTTTTGACAGATTTGGCGTTTTATCAACTCGTTGCTAATGTTCAACCACGTTTTAAAAAACGTCCTGCCCAGGTATGCATTCCGATGTACACCCAATGTTTGGCAACATTCAAGAGGACGCTGCGATCCATCAGACAATTTGGATTATGCCAGGACTTTGTTGGATATCTTTGTGGACAGACACTTTATCTCACCTGGACACAGAAACGTGGAGCTGTTTAAGCGTGGGACAATTTGCAGCTACGGGCCACTGGGCACCGAGCTCAGGGACAATGTGCTGCACCAGTGGTGGCGTTCGATGTCTGGATCCAAAGATCAGGTGTTCGGGATAAACACGCCGAGCAGCAGCGGCAGTCAGGATGCAACTGGGGGACGATGGGGACACCTCAGGGTCGCAGAACCTGATGACCTCCAGAAAATACTGAAGGAGACAGAGCTGAGTAGAGAGCAGCTCGTCCAGAATCTCCACATGCTTCTGCAGACATCACCTTTGCTGAGAACCAGCCTTTTTCACGGTAGTACTCCAATCATTTCTTTGTTGTTAATAGTTTTAAGAATTAAGAATTTTATCGAGAGAGAGAGAGATAACAATTACAGATATAGATAGATAGAGATAGATAATGTTATTGTTATACTGTGGACATGACAAATTAACATATTGAAACATAAATCCTGAATTCATTTGTTGCGCCCTCTGTTTGTTTTCTTAGGATCTTTGGAGCAGTTCGTCCCCATATTTGAATTGGTGAACAGGAAGCTCCCATTTGGCATCGCTGAGACTGGTAGATGTTTCCAGCCCTCAAAAGAAGGCGATGGCTGGTGAGAATTCATCCACTCGCCAGCATACCTCGTCTGTGTGCCTTACAAAGGGTCGCACGACCCAGAAATTGGAATATTGTCTTACCTACCCCAATTTATACCACAAAATGAAAATCCCTCTACAACTCTAAAAAAAACTTGAGACTGCCATATTTTCTACAATTTCTTGATCATTTTAATTACTGGTGGGGAACTTGTGGGTGATTTTGGTTATTATGAAGAAAACCTTTGGTAAATGTCTCGACCAGCTCTTAAATTCAACGTTTATGTGCTTCTTTTTACTGTTATTATTATTATTGGAAATTGGTCCAAACAAATGTACCTTTCATTGCACAAGGCCTTTAAAATGAACATGAAACTGAACAAGGGTGGTCTCATATTTTTTTCTCCAAAGGCTGTCTAGTTCAGACGGTCTGGAGCACTGTGATGTGAGCAACAGTTTCTGCAATCAGAAACATGTGCTCTGACAAGGATGAGGTTGTGATTGTCTTTTTTATGAAGAATCTATCACACAAACAGGAACACGAATCTCTGTACTTGTACTTATTAACTGGTGCAACAGAAAACTTGAAATAAATGAACACAACTAACAAGTCAATAACTTGAATGCGACATAAGATAAAAGGATGAGATCTTGGCATTTTTTATTCTGGTCTAGTGACGCTTAACATTGTGAGTAAACGAGATAATTCTTTGAACAAAAGTGGCAAGTTAACAGGCTACTTTCTAGTTAGAAGTGAGTTTAACACAAAATTACTCAACCATTTGCATTTTAAATTCCAAGATGATATTTCTGTCAGCCCAGCAGAAGTCACAGAGGCATCTCTTGTCTGGTTCTGCTCCCCTCGAACCTCTTCGCAATGGATGGACCACTGGGCTCGACAGAGGCTCAAGTGGTGGAGAAAGGTGAGCTCTTGTTTGAAAACTCCTCAAATATGTTTTGGTTAAATTGATGCCTTTTTTGGGGGGGGGTGGCGGGGCAGTTCGCCCTCGCTCCGTCAGACTTCAGCAGCAGTGACGTCCCTCAGGGTGAACTAGAGGGGGCGGCGTCGCGCGGTGTGAAGATCTTCTACAGGTTCCCTTGGGGTCAAGAGCCCCTGGAAGTTCTGTGGAGCCGAGGAGACGGTGAACTGCTGCAGATGCACAAAGGAATCCGCTCCAAACTCCAGGTGAGGCACATCCACACTGCTTTATGGCTTCTTGACGTGCTCTTTTAGTGTGCTGGAGTCCAAATAACCGCATCTGGTTGCATTGCTGGCACACGACACCTTCAATAATGCCCCTGTAAATTGTCATTGCTTCAAACCCATCAGCTGTCTCATGCCGCCATGTCTTTGTGGCCTCGTTCATGCTGCCATAGCCCCCGACTCTTTAAGATCCTCGACCTCCCCTCTGCTAATCAGTCCACCATGGGGCACAAAGCTCCACCCTAACCCAGACTCACTAACCTTTTTCAAATCCTGACTTAAGTCAACTCATCTTTATTTATATAAAACACACGTCTTCCAGTGTGTCTACTCACTCCATCACTCGTTATATTAGCCCACTGCCCTCCATATCATTTGGTATGCAATGATGGATGAACAATTCATGAAATTTAAATCGACATTGCAATGTAGTAAATTGCAGTTTTCAAATCACATGATGATTAATGCCTTGTGCTGATGTAGAATACTCCACTACATCCCCAATCTGTACACTCATTTGTTTGCATTGTTGGTCATTCCAAACATCCTGTAGAGTCGAGATGGGCGCAAGTCTATCCCGCACATAGTTTCAACTACGGGGAACATCGATCGTGGTTTGTTGGCCTTTTTGTACAACTCGCTGCAGCTGCACAAGAGAGAAGACACCAAACAGAAGCTACAGCAGAGAAAGGTAACGCCATCTGTAAAAGTGTAATTCTTTTTACAAGCCTTTTGAAACATTTCTGTCCTGCCTTATTTCATCATGTCACTGATTTATCTTAGGTTCTGAAATTGCATCCATTGTTGGCCCCAGTCAAAGTGGCTTTAGGTATCGGCAGAGGAGCCACCATGGAGCTGAGGCAGGTCGGAGATCACCTCAGTGATTTATTGACCTTTGCTGAGTGTCATTTACCATTTACTATGCTTATGGACTGTAGGTTTGTGATGGCCTGCTGCAGGATTTAAAAGAGGCCAAAATCTCTGCTTGGCCCGGATATCTTGAATCATCATCCATGCCAATGGAACAGCTGAACTCCAAGTAAAAAGTTGATAAAAAAGAAATAAATGCACGACTCATAAAAAGTTATGGATATTCAGCTTCCGCGTTAAATTTCAGGATCAACCTAAAATGCACCGTAACTATTGGGTATTCAGCCGCTTTGCTAGTCTCTTACATGGAGCTTAATGGCAAAATCCACAACAGTTGTTTTGGTCCTTGGAAATGTATTGGCGAAGTATACATGTCCAAGGACATCCGTCTCTATGCCTTTCTGTGGCTCCTCCAGTTTTTGTTGCAACCTGCTGATGACACTCTGTGATCCACCAAGCTCACTGGCTACTTCCACCTGAGGACATCCTGTTTAAAGCTTTACAATGATGAGGTACTGTTGATCAATTTTTAGGTGTCCTCTCGCTCTTATGACATTAAAAAGTGTACAGCACGATGAACAGAAACTGTTTGATATCCATTCATATCAAACCAGGAAATGTATTGGGATAAAACAACTGTTGTGAATTTTTCCATTCAGATTTTTGTTGGAACACGGCAATAAAAAGTACGGAAACACTGAACAGCTGGACATGCTAGTTGAAAAGTGCATACAGGATTTAAAGGTTGTCGTGCATTTTTGGTTCATCTGGAAATTTCACCTGAAAAAACACTATCCGTAGCTTTTTGTTAGTACTTCAGTGTATATTAGAATGTTTCACTGTCTTCATGAATTGCTTAATGAGTAGTCAATACACTTTGATGTGGGTGTTTGGTGCATCGTAGGTATGACGAGATGGGTGTGCTTTTTACTGCGGTGATCAGTGAGAGCACGCTGGAGAGCGGTCTCCTGCAGCTGCGCAGCAGAGACACCACTATCAAGGAGACCATGCACATCTCGGAACTGACCAACTTCCTCTGCAGATATATTTCTGCTGCAGGCAACATGTAAATTATTATTTGTGTACTAATTGGATGTCCTCTCGGTCCCTCAGTTTTGTATTGCTGTAGGTACAAAACCATTGCCAAGGACTTTTTTTTTTTTTTTTTTGGATACAGTATTACATACAGTAAAAATGCTAATAAATGGACTACGTTGGCAACATCAAGGAGGTTTTTGAACACATTTTGTCATTCAAGCCATTCAGAATGTACATTGACACCACAGTATTTACAATTCTTTCCCAGATTTGACACAGGCTGTTTACGTCGGTCAGGGCAGATGCGGTTTTGAAGGTTACAAGGCATGTGATGAACTGGTTTGCACAAGACACTAGTACAGTCATTGCAGTTTTTACTGTTTTGTATCAGTGTTTTCATATGCTGTCTTAGATGTGTTTAACATACAAATGTAGTCTTTACTGTAATTATAACATCACTACAGTGAAACTCCTCTACAACGAAATCATGTTTGCAGCAAGAAATCTGTCTTAGATGTGTTTAACAGACAAATGTAGTCTTTACTGTAATTATTACATCACTACTGTACTGCATTAATGTAAATTAGTGATTGTTCCATCGCCACTGCAGGAATGGAACATCCCCATAAGCCGAAGAGCCGAAAAGATAATTCTATCAAAATCATTTTATTATTTATATGGAAAAAATCTTGCCACAAACAAAACATTTTTTAAAAAAGGTTTGAATTAAGTATGAACATAAGCTTTGATCTTGAGATCACGAGCATTTCTATCTTACACTATTCTGAGGCCTTTCGAGAAAGAAACACAGTAGGACATAAATGCTTTCATATGTTTCAGACTTGCTACAATTTAGGGATTTTGAATAAATCTCAAATTTGATTAGAAAACAAATTGGGAGATGATTTAAGACACAGGTGTCAAAGTCAAGGCCCGGGGGCCAGATCTGGCCCGCCACATCATTTTATGTGGCCGCGAAAGCAAATCACGCATGCCAAGTTCAATGATGCTTGCTAAAGTCTGAACCAAAATGTCAAATTGTCATATGTAATCCACAATAACAGTCATTATTCTTGACTTCTGATTTTAAAACTAATTTTTTATCAATTTGTTGTGCGCTGTGTGTGTAAGATGTGGAGGGGATGAAACATTTATATGGTTTCCCAAAATTCATAACGGCCCTCCAAGGGAAACCGTGACTACAATGTGGCCCGCGACAAAAAGGAGTTTGGCACCCCTGATTTAAGATGTGTTTGTGGGAAAAAAAAAAGGCTAGATATATAATCAAAGTATTATAGTTTAGAATTTTTTTTCTTGACTACCGGCTGATAGCGCAGTCGGTGGTTTTGAGGATGAGCACAAGCGGGAAAGAATATCGGATGCTTTTGAGGAAATTCGGACTCACTCTCCATTTCAGGTAGTAGCAGTAATGCACAATTAAGTTGTTTGGCAAACTGCTAAGACAAAACAGAAGAAGAGGAAGAACGCAGACACGGGAAACTCGCGAGATTTCCCAGACCGTCTTTTCCTCTCATTGGTCCATTCGTGAACCGTTCAGCGTGTCTGCACTCGGTGGTTGTGCTCAGTTTTGCTAGCATTTAGAAATGGCCACAGTCAAGCAAAATGAAGCGAAAGCTTCTTCCTTGGAGGAAAATAAGGAAAATTCACCGGGCGGAGGAATTGGTCTTGAAAGTATCTTTTTGCAGTGTTGTATATCCATTGCGTGTTTTAATCGAATCAAGACTGCCAACATTCCAAGCTAACGTTAGCATATCAGCTACGTGTCTCGAGGCTCGCGATGTTAGGCTACGTGTCACACTGAAGACTGTCACTGACAGACAATTCCACTTCTTTTGCTAGCTTGCCTTAAAACGATTGAGAGCGTCAGATCCACATGAGAAGTGATTCCGCACGTGTGAGTGTGTTTTAGTGTGTTATTCCTGTTGCCCAGTAATCGCGCATCGTGTTATATCGAAACACTCAACAGTTGTAAAAATACTGTCGTAATGGTGGGTGCACGTGGAATGTGTAAAAGTGAATGAAATATTAGTGCGCTTGTGTGTAAAGCTGAGATTCCTTATCTGTGAATCGTAGTCTTGCAAATCATTAAGGAGTCCCAGCAGCTGCACGGTCTCAGACATGGGGACTACCAAAGATACAGGTAAGCGCCTGTCTGGTTCTCGAGTGGCGCAATTGTAGCTGTAAGAAGATTAAAAGCATGACCTTGTGACTCCTGCCATAAAGCTGTCTGTACCTACTCTTTTGCAGGGGCTACTGTTCTCGTAGACTGCGCCGTCTACGCAAGACTCTTGGATTCAAGATGGGGAACCGGCACAAGTTTGTTGGGAAGAAAATAACAGTCGAGATGCTTTCAGACAGCAGGCAAGGAATCATATTATTGCTGTTTTGTAATTTATGATTGGTGACAGGTGGGTACACAGGTTAAGTATACTTTTTGCCATCTAGTAGATGCAGATTTAATTGTTTTGCCCGTCACGGGCCGAGATAGATCAAGATGCATTTGTGGGCATTAAATTATCATTTTGGTGAAAATGAAATGGCACTCTGGGATCCACAGAGGGAAAATGACTTGTTGATGATACCTGAGAGTTGATGCAACTTGTTCCTCCTTTTTAGGTACTTGCTTCTGGTTTTGATGGAAGCAGAGCGTGCATGGAGTTATGCCATGCAATTGAAGCAGGAGGCCAACACGGAGCCGCGTAAGCGTTTCCACCTGCTGGCACGGCTCCGGAAAGCTGCCAAGCACAGTGAGAAGCTGGAGAAGCTATGTGAGAGCCCCTCTGTTGATGCCAAGACGAAACTGGAAGCACAGGTACTCTCAACCCTTTGTTGATGGTGCCATGCGTAGGCCTGTCAGGACAATACATTTTCCCCCAAACTGTCACAATAAACTGTGAGATCGTTTTTTTAATTCCATTTGCAGTGACAAGTGATGTCGGAACAAAAATAATGAAAGTACAACCTTTTTATAGGGGAAGTCATTTTCTCTGTAATATGTTCGATGCAAACAAACAAGACAAACAAACAAGATTATCTGATTTATATTATGTTAGTGGAATATGAGTTGAGCAGAAAAATACAGCTGTTTTTATTCATCTAAGGAGTCTGCTATTTTGCCCTAATGGTACTGTCGACTGAAAATGAGATCACACAGTACCCAAGGGCTGAGCTTGCACATGTCACACCTCACCTGTTATTTTATATTGTTCTACCAATTCTATATTGTTTAGTAAAAATCTGTTGTAATATTTTTGACTCTTCATCCATTTTGTTTTTAAAATCAACTTCATATGTTAAATTTTCAACTACTATATAATTTATTTATTTTTCAGAACAAATACATTAAACTTGTCAATTTAAAAACAATAAATGATAATGGTTCTAATAATCAATATGGGATAATATGAAAAAAATGTGATTTTTGTTTTATCCCCAAGGTACATTTCTTATTAGTGATTTCAATGTTGACAATGATTTACAATGCACATATACCAAGATTTCCCCAGTGTTTTTGTTTTGTAACTCAATCTATTGACCACCTCGTCTTACAAAATGTAAGACTTTTTTCCTCGTCCATAGAACTACCAAAGATAATTATTTTTGGTGCGTGTGTGTGTGTGTGTGTGTGTGTGTGTGTGTGTGTAGATGTTTGCACTTATTGTCACTGATGTTGCATCTTGTTTGTAACTGCAGGCCTACACCTCATATCTGACTGGGATGGTAGAATTTGAACTGCAAAAGTGGAAGTGTGCCATGGAGGCCTTCAATAAGTGCAAGTGAGCCCCGTTTCACTCATTTCTTTTCGAATAATGTTCAGTTATTCAATTTTTTCCTTTTATCATAGTCGAGGAATACGATAAATTGTTAATTTAATTTTAAGGACCATCTATGAAAAGCTTGCAAGTGCATTCACTGACGAACTGGAAGCGCTGTATCGCCAACGTGTGGACGAAATATCACCCAACATCCGATACTGTGCTTACAATATAGGTAAGAGTGGTAGACAATAGTGAAAATAATTAACAGATTGTACTTTGAAACTGTAATCATCTCACTTACTGTCTTTTCACCTCACTCATGGTTTTGCTGTCTGACAGGTGACCAGAACGCCATCAATGACTTGATGCAGATGAGACTGACAGGAGGGGGTGGAGGCATGATGGCTGAGAAACTGGAGGTGAGAACATTGTGATGTTGCTCACAAACTAAAGAATCACTTCTCCCAAATTTACCAACGGTCGTTGATCTCCCATCCCCAGGCCCTGATCACTCAGGCAAGAACCAAACAGGCAGCCACCATGAGCGAGGTGGAGTGGCGTGGGAGGAGTGTGCCAGTCAAGATTGACAAGGCCCGCATCTTCCTGTTGGGTCTAGCAGACAATGAGGCTGCCATTGCTCAGGTCAGTATCCCTCAGGGTTATAATTATTTCTGAAATTTGATCATTGTTAGTTTTGATTTCATTTTGAGGTTTTTTTTTTTTTGTTTTTTTTTTTTTTTTTTTTTTTTGGTTTTAATTTTTTTCAGAGGGGGGTTGTTTTATTTGTAAGAGCATTTTCCCTGATATATATATATAGATAGATAGATAGATAGATAGATAGATAGATAGATTATATATATATTTTTTTTGTGATTACTTTTAGGTTTTTGGGGTCCATTTTTCCGTATTTTCTGTTTGCAAGATGGAAAAAACACATCACAATAAGTATTGGGTTGTAAAAATTCAACCAAAATATATTTTTTTAAAACAGCCATCCACAAATCAAATGCAGGTACTGTATAACAGTCCACAGACTTTGAAGTAAGTCCAGTGCATAATTTTGCTTCTAAAATTAGATCCATCACAACTGTATCTTCTCAAAGCTTGGATGGTTTCAATTTGCATCCCTTGTTTACCAAATTGCAAAAGCAAAAAGTGGATTTGCGCCTTCAATTCCTATTGAGAAGTATTCCACGCATAACCCTTTAAAAGTATTAAGTTTATTCCTGTAATTGTCATGAACATGATATTAATTACTGCTTTATTTGCCTCTACGTTTGTATTCCATAGTACAATACTTCTCATATTATTTGTCATAATAAAGAAAATCTCAATTAGATTATTTTCCATAATCGTCCAGCCCTAATAAATATGGAGGTACAGTTTTTCTGTCATCGTACATCAAAATGATTTTGCACTGTTGAATATGCTTTGTAATAGAATATCATACATTTTATTGGTGAAATGCAACATTCCTACCCTGTTCAATAATCAAAAAAAATGTAAAAGCACAACTTTACTGCCTATATTTCACAGTACACACAGATGTATTACACCACAAGGTGACATGGAAGTGGGAACAAAATAGTTTGAAGTAGATTAGTTCAATTGATGAGATGTGAGGGCAGCGACAGCGCATGTAGAGTATTGTTCACAGTTTTGTGTTTAAAAGAAAAAAAAATCCACTTCTGGTATCGATATCTGTATCATGATATTTGGCCCAGATTGCATCCAAAATCACTGGTATCACCCATCCCGGCCAACAAGCGGGGATAGATGATTGACCATTCAGTCAGGAGCAAGCGTGAAACCAGTCCATCAATCAGGAACAAGCATGAAAACAGTCCACCAATCGTGGGCTTGGGTTCTTACAGATGGATTTGCATTTGTCAGATGCTGCACTAATCCATGAAGCCAGGGCACAGCCAACCTGGAACCGAAGAGTAACCAGTCTATCAATCAATAAATGACTATTTGGCAGATGCTGTGCCAATTCCAGCAACACCTTTAAAACGCCACTTGGTGACGTTATCGTCACTCCGCAAAACCGTTCCTGTTCAGTACTTTAACATAACTATTTTTTTATACTCTAGATAACCTTTTAATATTCTTTAAGGTGTGAACATATGCTTGTACAACAATTTTTTTTTATTGGTGACAGTTTGAGCCGCGAATAAATTACAATATAGTAATTTATTTAGTGAAATTTATGTGGAATTAGAACAACTTGGAAGCCAACCAGTGTCAGTTTCACTGTAGTCTGCGACACTTTCTTGTCTTCACCTGATTCTCACCTTTGTGAAATGCTATGGCTATACTGTAGTTGACCAAACGTTCAGTGGGTGTCATTGTACTCTTGAGTTTCCATTGGCTAATCGGAGCCACCTCCAGTCATTCCTGTGGGTTTTGTCGCAAGCACTCCTCGTGCGCACTCCCATCAGGCTCTCTGGCATTCAGCTCCGCTCTTCGTACAACTACATTCTGAGCATATCAGTACACACACAAATGCAGGACAACACCCAGTTTGTGCGTGCGTGAAGATGCAATAGTGTTGCCGTTTACTTGAAATACTTAAAACCTGACTTTTGTTCCTTGCAGAATGTACCGGTATTTATTTTTTCCCATAGCGCTAGGTATGGATGTAAAAGTCGCAAGATTTCATGTTCTGTACACAAAGTCATCATTGATACCAGCTTACGTGCTCCGTGCACCGAAGAGCCATTTTGTATGTGTCAGTCTGCATGCAAGCAGCCCTCCTCCTCAACCACAGAGCATGTAGAACAGGCAGCGCCGGTTATGCTGGGCGTAGCAAGGTGTTGCCACGCAAGTGCGGGACTTTAAATACCACCATGACCCCTGAGGTGCATCGCTCAGCTCCCTCGTCAATTTGGATTGCAAAGATTGTCTTTCATTTTTGTGCTTTTAAAAGTAAATGTGGTTTTAAACACACATCAAGGGGAAGTATTGATAAAGCATATTTGCTGACCTTCACTGAATAAATGACTATTTGGCAGATGCTGTGCCAATTCCAGCAACACCTTTAAAACGCCACTTGGTGACGTTATCGTCACTCCGCAAAACCGTTCCTGTTCAGTACTTTAACATAACTATTTTTTTATACTCTAGATAACCTTTTAATATTCTTTAAGGTGTGAACATATGCTTGTACAACAATTTTTTTTTATTGGTGACAGTTTGAGCCGCGAATAAATTACAATATAGTAATTTATTTAGTGAAATTTATGTGGAATTAGAACAACTTGGAAGCCAACCAGTGTCAGTTTCACTGTAGTCTGCGACACTTTCTTGTCTTCACCTGATTCTCACCTTTGTGAAATGCTATGGCTATACTGTAGTTGACCAAACGTTCAGTGGGTGTCATTGTACTCTTGAGTTTCCATTGGCTAATCGGAGCCACCTCCAGTCATTCCTGTGGGTTTTGTCGCAAGCACTCCTCGTGCGCACTCCCATCAGGCTCTCTGGCATTCAGCTCCGCTCTTCGTACAACTACATTCTGAGCATATCAGTACACACACAAATGCAGGACAACACCCAGTTTGTGCGTGCGTGAAGATGCAATAGTGTTGCCGTTTACTTGAAATACTTAAAACCTGACTTTTGTTCCTTGCAGAATGTACCGGTATTTATTTTTTCCCATAGCGCTAGGTATGGATGTAAAAGTCGCAAGATTTCATGTTCTGTACACAAAGTCATCATTGATACCAGCTTACGTGCTCCGTGCACCGAAGAGCCATTTTGTATGTGTCAGTCTGCATGCAAGCAGCCCTCCTCCTCAACCACAGAGCATGTAGAACAGGCAGCGCCGGTTATGCTGGGCGTAGCAAGGTGTTGCCACGCAAGTGCGGGACTTTAAATACCACCATGACCCCTGAGGTGCATCGCTCAGCTCCCTCGTCAATTTGGATTGCAAAGATTGTCTTTCATTTTTGTGCTTTTAAAAGTAAATGTGGTTTTAAACACACATCAAGGGGAAGTATTGATAAAGCATATTTGCTGACCTTCACTGCTTTTCGATTTTACAGCTGTATAGATGAGTAATTCAAGGTTGTAAGGTGAAGAAAATGCATCATTGATACCAGAGTAGAGTGCAGGAATGCATCAGTAGCCTGCTGGGCCACATACCTTCATCTTCTTCTCACCTTTATCACTAACTATGCGTTCTTGCCTTGGAGTCTCACACTTATTGTGTGTAAGTGTGTGTGCGTGCGCGCGCGTGATTGACTTCCGAGTTTGCGACTTGAATCACGCGGAAAGTGAATGCAAGTGTCGAATTCAGGTGTTGAGCAACACACCAGCATTGCAGCTGAACGTTCGCCTCCCAAATTCCAGCGCCTCTGAAGGCATTTGCCCTGATTCAGTCTGCTTGTTTAAAGGGACAACCTCTGAAAAGGTCACCAGACGTGGACCGAAATCAAAATGGTCTTCTAATATATACCAGATATTGTCTATATGAAATAATTTATGTCAATGTCATTCTTTTTAAGGTTGAAGAAAAAGTAAGACAATAAATACTGCAAAATTCTGTCTGTGAACGTGCATCACCTCAATAAAAAATCGGAATTTTTTCCCACCCGTGCTGCTTTATAAGTTGCACATTTTACATGCATTCACATATGATAAAATGCTATCGTGGATTAATTCACGCCAGGCTCCTCTGCAGCACATCGGTTGCTTTTTGGGGATACATCTTTGTATCTTTGTATTCAATTTAAAACAAACATATGTTGTCAAAATACGATAGTCTTTCTATTTCACAGTAAAACAAAGAAACAATAAAAGGAACACCCAAAAATGTTGTATCGCAGTCATAGTACGAAGCAACAAACATAAGCGTGGACGGCTTTATTCGATCAACGCTTCCAAGCTTGACAAACGTCCTTTTGCACTTGCGCATTCACACAAGTTTCGGTAAATTAAAGAGAAGCTAAATATAAATGGAAACAAGATGCTCTTGGGATTGGGGAAATTGCTAATAAGCGCTTCTTTGATCACCAGGGTGTCGTCAGGGAACAGTATCGCACTTATGGTCCAAACTTCATAGTAATGATCAAATGTAACTGTGTCACCAGCTCTTCGGAAAATATTTTGTGGCGTCGTCGACATGTTATAACAGAAGCACACTGATCTGTCATCTCACCGTGAAAATGCGATCCAGGCAAAGGAAACATTGATTCTAACAAAATGTAGATCCAGCCTCCTATTTTCTTGGCACTGGATTCTGGATTGCTTTTAATCTCATCTCCTTGTTGCCTCTCGAGAAGGCAGCCAATGAGGAGACCAAAGAGCATCTGTATGAGACCCTGCTGGCCGAGTGCCGAGACACCATCCAAGCGGTGCGAGAGGAGCTCAAGACTGAGGCGGTACGATTATTTCACCGAAGAAGTAGCTTTTTTTTTTTTTTAATTTAAAATAGCTCAATTGCAGAGTGTTCCTATGACTGAAATGTCGATAATTAATATGTTTTATTTTTGCTCATTACTCGTGCTTGCAGAAGCAGCGAGAGAGAAGTTCTGATGCTGAGAATGGAAAAGTGTCCAACATGCAGTTTCTGCACAGGTAGCTTTTGTTTTCATCAATGATCTACAGAGTAATTTTCGCAGCCACTGTTTCAATCTTGCTACATTCAAGTTCTGCCCCGCCTCCTTTTTTATTTATTTATTATTATTATTTTTTTTGTGCAAGCCAACAATAGTTTTCTCTATTATGTCGGAATTTTTCATTGTGGCTTACCAAAGTCTAGTTTCGAACATGTAAAGGTGGAAAATCGATAGCTACACAATTAGCATGACAGCAACAATGACACGGCATGTTGGATGCTCATAAATTAAGCAAAGAGAATCAATTGGACGTGCTCCGTGTAGGGTGCTGACATTTTCTCTCTGAACACCATATCTTTTGATCCTCTGTTGCAATCGCTGTTGCTTTTTAAGTGTCACTTGTTGTTGTCTTCACGTTCCAGTCTTACATTCCATTCCACCAAAGTAAAAATTCTCTGGCAACCAATCAATAGACAGCTGTGTGTCTTGCTCCACCTTACACGAGCGAACAGGACCGTAAATCGAGCAAACAATCCTTCGAAGAAATTTGGGATGGGCCCAATCGGAGATTTCTTAAACGTTTCTAATTGGAATGAAGTACTAAATGCACTACAAGTGGTCTTTGGTTTGTGAAGGCCCCAATGTGTCACATTTGAAGGCAATAGTTTGCACAGTGGCATAAGAATGGAGAACGTGGAGAATTTGGCAGCAACTCCTAGAATGAATCACTATTTCGGCCAATTGATTCCCATTGAGAGCTCCAGTGAAACACTCGAGGCTGCCTGAAAATGTTGTCGGCCTATTCCCAAAACATCCGTCAGCTTGAATTTTTACCTCCCCGATGCTGATGCTACTGGATGCTTTAGTGCCCCCCCCCCAATTATCTCATTCTCCTGTGCACCGCATCCCAGCTGAGGTCATTTCAATGGCAACGAGACCATGTGTTGGTGTGCCGACTGGGACAGAGGCCACAGACTCACGCGTTCACACTCATATCATCACACAAAGGCAAACCACAACCCCGTCGATCAACGCTTTTTGTTGGCCTTCAGAGCGCCTCTCCCTTCCGATGTTACGGCCCAGCTGCGGATGGGATTTGGTGGTCCCTTCATGATTTGCAAAGTCTGCTAACTTAATCTGTCTGTAAAATCGGAACTCCGTCGTAACCCGAGGAGCCCCTGCCATATCCCATAGAGAAATTAGCATTTTAAATAAACCAGCCAGTGTTGGTAGTTGAATTTTCCATTTCCATTTGTAAATCAGGCGATGACAAATGTATCGATTGTGACTTTTGAATCATTAGCATAGATATGATAGCAAGTCAAACATTTGCTTAAGCTGCTGGTGTCATCTGCCAGCTACCTGAGCTACATCAAGCTGTGCACGCTGGTGAAGAGGAACGAGAGCATGGCGCACACACTGCAGGCCAAGCTGAAGGAGCCTGAGGGGGATGAGAATAAGAGGGGCCCCCGTCCACAGGACCTCATCCGCCTCTATGACATTATCCTGCAGGCAAGCGTGTGGATGTGGAACATAACCGCTTTGTCGTTCCTCCAAACACCGCTTCTGTAAGCTTAAGCAGTCTCTCTGTTGTCCCCACAGAGTCTGGCTGAACTCTCCTCCCTGCAGGGGCTGGAGGACGACCACACCTTTCAGAAAGAGGTGTCCCTCAAGACGCTGGCCTACAAAGCATACAGGTAGCCCCACTCTACATGTGTGACTAATACATTGCGCACCTTTGATACTTACTATGTTTGTGTGCCTTGCAGGTGTTTCTACATTGCCCAGTCTTATGTTCTGGTGAAGAAGTGGAGCGAGGCTCTGGTGCTCTACGAGAGGGTGCTCAAGTATGCTAAGGAGGTGCAGTCGAAGGCCAAGAGCATGAACAGCCTTAAGGTTGGGAGCAGCAGCGTGTTGCTAGTCGAGCCTCAACGTGGGCACCCATGACTGAGCCTTAGCGTTTTAATCATGGACATTGTCTGTGGTCTCGACAGGATCTGCCTGATGTTCAGGAGCTCATTGCTAAAGTCAATGCAGAAAAATACTCTCTTCAAGCGGCAGCCATTTTAGGTGAAGACTTTTAAAGCTGCTCACTTTTTTTTTTTTTTTTTTTTTTTTTGCTACCTGAGGGGAGCTATGCTGACAGTATGCTTGTTTGTTTCAGACACTGGCGAGACTGTTGACGTTCCCACTCCACAGCCCATCAAAGACAACACGGTAAGAGGAAGCAACTAGGTCTAGACCTATGCAGATATTTGAAAAACATTTTGGCTAAAAATACAACAGGAGCCAACATGGTTCTACATTATGATGCTAATGATCGTCATTGCCTGATTTGGAACCATGAATTGACATAACTTGCAGTCTTTTAAAAGAGTACAATGACAACTTCACAACATTTGACCAAACAACTATGGCATAAATCTAGATCACTAAATCCTAAATCAGATTACAACAACAATGCAAACAAATCTGTGGCCTTCTTGCAACCTTTACGATTTGAAAATGTCATTTTACATTTGATTAATTTTTCAGCCCGAGTTAAAAGCATTTTTTTTTTTCTAGGTGCTTAGTTTTTAAGCACAACCATGAGCCATATATGTGGAAATGATACAGTCATGTAGGATATTATGGGTTTTAAACACTCCTTACATTTGTGTGGATATGTCCGAAGAAGCAATTTCCGCTAATGAGTCAACACGGTAACGTTATCCTCGTCACTCTCCAGCCTCTGTGCGATCGCTTGGAGACGTTCCGCCTGGACCCGTCCCTCGTGGGAAAGCATCCCAACCTGGTCCACTTTCCTCCCGACTTCCAGCCGATCCCTTGCAAGCCTCTCTTCTTTGACCTGGCTCTCAACCATGTGGCCTTCCCGCCCCTGGATGACAAAGTGGAGCAGAAGGTCAAGGGCGGCCTAACCGGCTACATCAAGGGCATCTTTGGATTCGGCAGCTAAAACGTAAAGAAGAAAAGCCTCCCTCGTGGCATTTGTTAGAATCATGTTTCTTGGTTACTTTCAGTGCCTCCGCGCGAGACGACCGGATGAGATTTGGAAAAAGGAATGTCATGAAATCCACCTGCCAACTTTTAATGACTTGTCATGGTTAAGCCGGTTACCATGTCTTAATATTTAGATCCATGTTGTTGTTTTGTCCCCAGAGCGTTTATAGATCCCCCCCCCCCCCTTCTCAGAAAGCCACTTTGACACAGTACACTTCATGAAATAGCTGCAATCATGTGACCTCAAGCACCTCATTTATTTGCTTTTTCCCTTTTCTTCCCTCCAGGTCTGCCCTGATTTTTAATTCGTTTTTTTTTTGTCTCTCAATTGTCAGAGTTCACATATCAGTTTTTTCCCCCCCAGAGTTTTTATACCCCCCCCCCCCCTTCTCAGAAAGCCACTTTGACACAGTACACTTCATGAAATAGCTGCAATCATGTGACCTCAAGCACCTCATTTATTTGCTTTTTCCCTTTTCTTCCCTCCAGGTCTGCCCTGATTTTTAATTCGTTTTTTTTTTGTCTCTCAATTGTCAGAGTTCACATATCATCAATGTCGAACCAAACCGCTGGTTTACGCGATCAATGTACCAGTAAAAAGCACAAGGCGGTCAGTTGCTTCCGGATACGAAGATGGTGCTCAAGTCAAGTGCAGTGGGGCTTCCTCTCTGAATTTAGGTGATCTCATAGGGAAAAAATAAGGGTACGTTCCAAAAAGGATTCTGGGCCTGCTCTGGTACACTTCAGACCATTTGGGAACAAAGAGTGTTGTTAGAATGTAATGGAACACTTGCACCCTCCAAGTAGAGTTGGGGTGTCGGATTGAATTTTCAAACACATACAAAGTTCACCACTGTTGATTTGCACTCTGACCGTTGTCCATCCATCCGTTATCTAAAAGGAAAGAAAAAGATTCACTGGATAGTCAAGTCTTTAGATAACCGATTCACTAATTCTAGTACCATATATTTTGATGGGACGATGAAGATATGACAGTCAGCAACAGCTTGTATACCAGAAATTTACTGCACTCTGAAAATAGCTCAATACAGAACTATTAATTTTTAAACCATTGGCAACAGGATTACACTCCAAAGTGAAGCATCCGTAATTGTCATTTTGTTGTTAGGTGTCACGCTGCTGCTTAGTTTGAGGTAGTTAGCTGTCTTCATATAGCCTCAGTCATCTACACAACTAAAATGCCCCCCCAAAACCCTTCCTTACAGATCCTCAGAAATGCAGCTGAAAAACTGGAACACTAAATAGCCAAATGGGACTGGGTTTGTACCAATAGCTAATTGAAGCCAGCGTGGACATTTTCACTTCAGGGTTTATTCGTTTTTGTTGCCAGTGGTGTAGACATTTGTGGCCGTGTGCGGAGTAATGCGGTGGACAGTATATACGACTATTATACAAGCTGCCCACTGTTTACACTGTAGCAGTGTGTCGTTTCAGCAGCATTCTGTCATGAAAAAAATATTAACAAAAACATGACAGTAGTACTTTTTTTTTTTTTTTTTACACCCCTTAAGCATGTCTGCTTCCAGAGGACCACGTTGGACTCTTTTAAATGTTGTTTTCTAAATCATAGATATCATCCCTGTCTGGAAATGTTGTACTGTGGAAAGGTCTTAGGCAGGCACAAGCTTTTTGCTGACCCTTTTGCAGCACAGTGAGTCACTCACCCTTTGTTTGGCAAAGTTCCAGTTGTATGCCTTTCCTGACATTTTGTTTGTGGGGCGGGAGGAGGGGGGGGTGTCATTTTGACACAGTAAAAGAGTAAGTAGTATGAAGCATACAGTTTGACTAACTAAAACTTAACAGGTCGACAAAAAATTGACACTCAAATATTTATTGTTCATGAAATGTGGCCTCTCTTGAATGAGCTCTATGAATTATCCCGTTACTTAAACATTATTATTATTATAGCAAACATCAAATCTAAAGATTCCTAAGACCTTTGCACGGTACTATATGTCTTAAGCCCATCAGAATATACTGTTGGATATTTTATCAATAAACCGCTGATCTGTTATTTACATTTGCAATATGATGTGGGGGGGGGGGGTCGGGGGTCCCTGCTTTATAATGGGGTTCCATTCTATGGTGGCGACATAACCAAGTCCTATCATAGCCAGTAAATACAGTATTTGTATGAAAAACACTTCTGAGCGATGGATGTAAAACAATGAAATGAAATCAGTTTGCGCCAGGTGAACTGAGGGTGCCTTGTGTTGCAAGGTGACATCTTTCGCCCCCTTGCGTGAACTTGTCTGTTGTGTGTTCTTTGTAACCTGGAAATGTCCTACGTTGCGACCATAAATTGAGGACCCACTGTATTTTTCTGTCTCCTGAGTTGATTTCACTGACTCCCCATCCCCTGTCGTCGTCGAAAAGATTTGGTCCAAATGAAAAGTTGTTTGGAAGCAAAAGAAATGAGCTGAGTGATTTGAAGACATAAAGTATATTTGCACCTAGTCTTTGCTGTGGTTCATTTAAATTCAGCGGCATTTTGTTCTCGGGGTTAGAATGTGACTGGAAAGTGTATTTACAAAGTTTTTGAAAAAGTGTAGTGGTGGGAGTGTGCAGTGTGTGAAATGCCTCAGCTGGGTGTGGATGTGTGTAGGTTTGTCGGATACATAAGTTTGCATCGGCCGCAAAGGCGTGTTTGTCGCGCGCTGAAAAACTGTGGTCTTTCTTGCATTTTTAACATCATGGTGGTCCAACCAGAACTTTCTTTTGGAACCCCGTCAAGCTTGCATGGCTCACCCGCTTCACACACATTCCAGCGTCATGCAGAATGTGCCCTGCCTGGGTAGAGCGATGATGGTTGAGGTGGAGATAAGGATTCTTGTGTGTCATGCTGAATGAGCCGAGATACCGCGTCACTTGGGTTTCTGTAGTTTTCCCAAATGATTCCGCAGCCCTTTAATCGTGAGACTCTACCTCATACATTTCAGTTTTACTTCCTGATGTTGTTTGTCTGGGAGGCAACCATAGCTTTAAAGCATTTGCAGGCGTGCTATATACACAAAAATGTGTGTGTGTGCGCGCGTGTGTGTTGGGGTCACTTACCCTGTTTCGGAAAACTAATTTAAAGCCATCCGTTTTAGATGTTTATAATAAATACGAGCCAAAATCTCAATTTAGTTGCAGTGAATATAAGAACACTGCATGGTCCTGTTCAAATACCGTCTGTTTGCGGTATTAAACCATAAATGGGACCTATAAACTATAGAACAAACAAAATAAAGAGGGGGGAGTAGAGGTAACTGAGATAATGTGGTTGCACAAGTGCGCACACCGTCATTCTGGGAATGTGGCTGAATTCCAAATTAACCAATCACATTCAAACTCGCGTTGAATTGGGAAAATGTTTTTATCCAATGAAACCAAGGTGGATTTTTTTTCTTCGTAATATCGAGGCAAATAAATTGAAGAAATGTAAAAACCAGAAGAGTCAGAGACTTTTAAAAGCAAAGAAATAAAAACGAGATTCAATTCGGTCATTGTGGGGTGGCAAAAGAGAAAAATGCCATTTCAAATCGCAGGACGCACGCAGATAAAAAAAAAACATTTGCCCACACACACTAACTTGCCATGCCTATTTTTGGAATGTGGGAGGAAGCCGGAGTACCCAGAGAAAACCCAGGGTGCACTAGGAGAACATGCAAAGTCCACACAGGAAGGCCTGAGCCGGAATCGAACCATTCACCTCTACCGTGAGGCCGATGTGCTTTCCATGGCCCTGGCCTCACTCCATTCTCGCAGACAAATTCACTGGTTTATTTTTCCTTACAAAATACTAATTTGGAAAACTCCTTTTTCGTTACAGTCATTATTCCATCACACTGCTGTCAGTCTACAATCCAGTAGCTGCATTCACTTTATAATCCCAAAAGCCCGTACTTCACGCCTCTTTTCAGTTTTCTGCTGGAGATGACTGGAACCATCTGCAACAGAACTTTAAACTAATTTCTTGCATCCTTCTTTGTACTTCATAAATTTTTTTTTTTAAAAATGATGATGTTGGATTTAATGTTTTGCTCTAGGTTATCACTTTTAAGTAACTGCCTCTTGACCAGGTAGTCATTGTAAATGAGAAATGGTTCTCAACTAACCTACTTGGTTAAATCAAGGCAACTAACTCTCTCTCTCTCTCTCTCTCTCTCTCTCTCTCTCTCTCTCTCTATATATATATATTATATATATACTGTATATATATATTTTTTAAATGAAAGTGGTTACCGGTAGTCATGATAAATATGCAGACATGGCCCATATTAATCTTCAACATAACAGCAGTGCTAGCAATGTTAGATTGCATTCGCATTTATTAACCAAAGTTAGCCACAGTTGCTATGCTGGAAGCACAATTTTTTTTGTTATCAAGTGTTACTAAAATACTAAGTTTTATCAATTTTAAGTTTGATTTTTTTTTCTTTATAGGTGAGCAAACATTGAAATTCAGAAGATGAACAAATCATTATTTCCTCGACTGTATGGCACAGTACATCTACTGAATAGCCAAGCCTCAGTTTGGGACAAAATAGTGTACAGTAGTACAAAAGTGAGGACGCACCCCAGTATGTGTAATTATGATTGCGCTCTGCTGCTCAGCTGCAAAGAAAGTTGCTCTGCTGCATTCCTTGTATTGTTGTTTCTGTTTTTTTTTTTTTTTTTTTCACCGAGACCAGTGACTCACATTCCTCTAGGATGGGACTTTGCAAACTCTTAGTCGTTCCTTAATGATTCCTCTGAGACATCCACCGTGTATTACATTTGAAAATTTTGTATGATCCAATCATTGTCTGCCATGCCATGTTTCACACACTTTCTATTCTTTGGATTGAAGCATGAGAAGAGTTAACGTAGTCGTTGACATTATTCTAACACTCTGAAAATATAGCTCAAATGCTGCTCTGCGAGCATCTACTAAATGACCTCTACACGTTTTGCTTTTTCTTTTACTTCTTCTTTCGATGCAAGCAGAGAAATTTACCAGTGATGGCAAAGAGAAACAAAAGTATTTTGTGAGTTTCTCTTGCCGGCACCGCATATGGTATGTGTGTGAAGATGTTAGATTGCTTGTGTCCAGTCAAAATTTCAGCCTCTACGCCACTGGCTACCATGTCAATCTAAATGTGTCCTTTTCAGGCTTGACCGGGCGACTTTGGTTCAAAATGTTTTTATGATGATAAACAATTTTACTCTCAATAGTGTTTCAATTTAAAATAGCTTACCATTCCCTCTAAAGATGTTCATATTGTAATTGATCAAAAATCCAAATTACAGTTGAATGTGCTTATAAGATCGTGATCGGTGTTTATTTGAACAATTCAGAGAGGATACAGTAAAGAGTTAAAATGGACAAAAAGGTGTACATAAATACAAGTGTACATAGTATGGAGTAAGACACTTTTCACTTAAAATGGCAGATTTAGCAAACGTTACGTCAACAACATTTAGGGCAACTAATATGGCACTTCCTGTCAGTGCTCTGCAGCCCTTATCCCAATGAGCGGCGAACAAATGCGTGTTGTCGTAGGCAGCAAATGTTGAATTCTCATCAGGATTCATTTGGGTTCGTTCAAGTGTGCAAATGTTCGCCATACATTCGCATGCACTTTCACAAAAACTGTTGGCGAACATCTGGTGAGCTTTTTCAAACATGCGCGACCTTGATTGAACCCTGACGAACTTTGACGCAATTGTTTGCCCCCTGAGTGGCATCGGGGCTTTACTAGTATTTGAAACCCATTCACACCGCTGCCGGTGGACTACTTTGGGGACTGACGTTATAACTTTACAATGACATGTTGGCTTTCCCAGCATGCTTTGTTGTAGTTACGAGTGACACTTGTGTAGAAGAAACACTAATAGAGTTACAGTGATGTGGTTTGTCTTTGTTTGTTAAATTATTGCAACTTGGTGACACCCTTAATAACAAAGGTAGTGTGTAGTCAGTTATTGCCACGCAGTATAAAATGCCTATCTATGAGTGTTTTGTGTACATTTGTTTAAGAAGGCTATCATAGATTAAAATGTCACAAAGGTCTCTTATTTACTTATTTTAAAATGGTTACAAGCCCGGAGGAAATTAATGTCCATCCATCCATCCATCTTCTACCGCTCATCAGGGGCCGGGTCGCGGGGGCAGCAGCTTTAGCAGGGAAGCCCAGACTTCCCTCTCCTCAGCCACTTTTTCGAGCTCTTCCTGGCGGATCCCGAAGCATTCCCAGGCCAGCTGGGTGACATAGTCTCTTCTGCCTACCGGTCCATCCGTCAGTCTGTCATTTTTTTCAAGCTGAACCAAACCATCATCGTCAGTCAGTCAGTTCGTCATGTTATTTTAGCCGCGCTTTTGTCAGTTTCAAATTGCACTGGCCCGCTAGTGTGTTTATCGTCATTACAAAAAAAAAAAAAGAAACAATAAAGAAAAAGATTGCCTGTCAATTATACACAAATTTTCACTCTCCGAGGGCCGGCCCACTCCCCACTACATAGACCAGGGGTCCACTCCTTTTTGAAGGATAAAGGCACCCAAATAAAATCAAAGCCTTTAAAGAAGAGTAGAAGAAGGTTGACATTTAGGCTTGTACAACCTTATGCAACCTGAAGCTGAGCCAGCTTCAAGGTCTGACATGGAAATTTTATTTTCACTGTTTCAATGTAAATACAGTCTTCCAAAGTAGCTGTTTTGATGTGTGACATCCATCCATTCATCATCGGAACCCCTTTTCCTCACGAAGGTCGCGGACGTGTTGGAGCCTATCCGTGCAGTCTTTGGGCAGGAGGTGGGGTACACCCTGAACTGGTTGCTAGCCAATCGCAGGGCACACATAGACGAACAATCAGTCACACTCACAATCACACCTAGTGACAATTTAGTGTGTTCCATTAACGTACCATGCATGTTTTTGCAATGTGGGCGGAAACCGGAATCCCCGGGGAAAATCCACACAGGCATGGGGAGAACAGGCAAACTCCACACGAGAAGCCCGGGGCTGGAATCGAACCCACGACCTCCTTACTGTGAAGCAGACGTGCTAACCAGTTGTGCACCGTGCCACCCCTTGATCAGGGTACATGTGTGCTAAATTACATATGAAGTAGGCCCAAACAGGTGCAGCTCAACTCAGTCCAGTAACAAAAATGAATAAAAGGTGTGTCCACCTCTCAAATGACTTTTGTGTGTGTGTGTGTGTGTGTGTGTGTGTGTGTGTGTGTGTGTGTGTGTTTTGTATGCATTCAATTTCCTACAAAAAGAGTCTTAGTGCGAAATGTGCCATAAAAGTCCTTGATTGAAATAATGTAGTATTTAGCCTTCACTAGTACGGAAGCAATATGAACACACCCAACAAGGACTTTTCTCGGTAGTGGTGAATGGGCCCCCGATGAAAAGGATGGGCAAGGCCCCAAAATGGCAGGAAGGCAAAACTGGTCAGTCCGGTCCTCCTTATGCAAGATGGATGGCTGGGCGGTGACACGCCTGTTAGGTAGCCTAGGAGGAGGTGCACCTGTGTCGATATGAAGGCGTGTAAGTGAGTCTTTTGCTGTGTTTAACGTTGACAGCGGGACCCCGAGGAAGAGGAGAGGCACAGTGGGAGACACGGGGCGAGTGAGTCGGACACAAAGGAGGAGTAAGAGAGGGACAGAGTCGGTCTCAGTCGGCCCCACACACCGCCGCCAAGATGTCGAAGAAAAGTCCGACCAAGGTCATCACCAGGTATGCTTTGTCACAAATATATTTTTTTTCTCTGTGTGCAATTTTATTTCCCATGAGTGTGTCATGTTTCTCAGCATGCCTACTCTGTGTGTGGGGATGTGTGTGTGTGTGTGTATGCCTCCTAGCACCGTTACATTATATCAGGGCTTGTCAACATTTCTGATGAGAGGACGCATCAAGGATGAGACGGTGTGTTTACCCAACATCCATGTTAGCTCTCAGGTTAGAAAGTGAGGGAAAAAAATTGAAATTCTCCAAGATGACCACCTCAAACATTCCAGCACACAATTGAACAGTGGAGTTGCTCTAACACTTTGGGAAAAGTCATAGAGGAGGATCCCCATTTTGGGGGCTCAGTTAATCCGCAAAGAAAGGCTAACTGAGTCTCTGTACACACTGATTTGTCACTCGTGTGTGTGTGCGTGCGTGTGTGTGTGCGCGCCCGCACGCAGTCAGTCAGCTGTGGCTCCATGTGGGCTTGGCCCTTTAACTGGTTCCTGTCCTTTATTTACAGTGTCCGGGCGTGGGTCTGTAACTATAGCCAACAGTTCATTCAGTTCAGACTATGAGTCAGTAGTACATTTTAATAAGACGCATCGGATTGACGGGTCTTTGTAATGCATGCTTTGAAAGAGACGCCTATGGTGGTTGTACACGTACTCCATCAGAGGTGCCATAAAGCACGTTGGGGTAGGGTGGTAATGATTCAAAGAGCCCATGAAGCGAATTGGAAGAAATTGTGCTTCCTTTTCAAATGGTCCAATTGTATTTAATTCTATCCTTCATAGATGAACTTGGAAATTACATTAAATGGTGATTTCATTTTTGTTTTTGTACTCGAGCCTTTTACAAATATATGACACCATTTACACCCCGCATCAATGCAAAAGGCCAGTTGTATCCCTAACAAAAAAAAAAAAAAAAAAAAAAAAGAGAAATAAAAAAAAATTCTGGCTCCAGTCGAAGCATCTTTCTAACCCTAAATGCATGACCATGACCTGTTAAAGTTTTCATTATCGTCAGTCATTATCGTCAGTCTTATGTTCCAACTGGAGTCAACCATTGCTTTGAAATCAGGAGGCAACATTTTTATTTTTCGGGCAGCAGTGACAACCCTTAAATATATCAGAGCAAAATCAACAATCACTATATTTGGGGTTTCTCAAATTTCTGGGGATTCTGGGTTCAGATTTCATTGTCAACCCCAACCACTTCTCTAAATGTACCTCAATCTTCTCCCAAAATGGACTTGCAAAAATGCACGCACACACTCCCTCACTGCAGGATGAAGAATCGTTTCAAATGGAGGTGATAATCAGACATTGGGCAAATTCTGTAGATCTTAAAAGGAAAATATAACATACCAGCATATTCATTTCTTTCGCATACATTTTGCAGTGTTTGATCATATTTTGACCATTCTGTTTACTGTATTATAATGTTGACGTTGCAGTGACATCCTTGCTTTCGGGCGTTTTCACATTTGAATGAGGGCGTGTTTGCAGTGCTGTGATCTTGGCAAAGAATGCAGACAAACCCTGCTCAATTATGAAGCCAATCCAGTTCGTCAGGGCAGCTAATCAGATCCTCGATCCTCATTACTGACTCAGTTATACGTGGCTATGTACCAGAAGCTATTTCATTAACTCTCTACCACAAAGCAATCACTGAGTGAACGATTCAACATTTCAGAAAAGCAAAACACATCCAACGTATTTTGAATGCGCTTATTTTGAATGTTGGCCTCTTTATTGACGCAATTGATAAGTTTTAATGGCACCTTCGTAAAGTTAAAAATGAGAAATGGCGTGCAGGGTGTTGGCGTGATGTGCCTGTGCTTCACGCAGACTGAACTGAAGCAGCTTGATGAAAAAAAATGTTTTGGAATATTGGATAAAAAAAAAACAAAACATTTGAATTCCCTATTCTAAACTATACAGCTGCTTTGTCTAACTTCTTTGGTTGTCATTGGTGCACGTTTTGGGTTTTTTTTTTTGGCAGGGTAAACACACAACATCCTTGATTTAAATCAACGGTGGTGGTTTTGCTTCGATTAGTTAATCCTTGACCTTTTATCGACGCAAAATTCATTTTCATTAGAAAATTGTACATTTCCCTTGCGCCTGAAAAGATTGGGATGCAATTGCACAACACTACTAACTTAATCTACAATGCAAACTTTTGGTTTCGCCATTTGTTTTGTCCAACTTACTGTACAGATCGGCTGACAGTTTTGTCCGGTCTTTTATGTCGGCCAAGGCGAGACTTAACATACGTGCTGCCAAACGTCGTGTGGTGTTGACAAGTGGCATCAACGCAGACATGAGTGGGTCTTGGTGGAATGGCGAGCATTTGAAGAACGTTTCGGGAGTGGCTGGGGACGAGTTGTTCTCAACGCAGCCACCCCCTTTAAAAAGAGTTGGAGGTGTTTGACATTCTTCATCATCATCTTCGTCATCCCAATTGCTGCTGATGATGACGAATTACCGCAGCAGTGCTGTCTGGGTTAAAAAAAAACAAACAAACAAAAAAAAAAGAACAATTTAACTGCCCGGCAGAACGCAGGAGTTAGACGATGCCTTCCTCAAGAGCAGAGGCCAACCCGCAGGCCGGAGGAAACATCTGAACTTCTGCCTTCACACGCCACCTCCTTTCGATGCAGAAATTTGGTTGAGCGATCACATCTAGTCCTGTAATATTGTTGGCATGTTTTAAAATTTGATAATCACTGTTCGCTATCTTAATTAAAGAGTTGCGACAACACAATGGTATTTTGCCCCCAAAAATAAATAAAATATAAAACAAGGTGAGGCAAGAGGAATACTCACAAACAGGCAAGATTTTCTGTGAATAAGAGGTTTAGGTTCCAAAAAGAAAAATAGCTAATGAATGGATTTGTGAATGCCAAAACTTACCTTCATGCTTCAAATCTTGTTTGTGTTGATTCTTAGATTCTATAGATTTCCCATTCTCAAAAACGCAAGATTTTTCTGATGCAATCTTGCTGGTAAGGGTTGCAGGTGTAACCACTGGAAATAGACTCACTCACTCGAAATTTTGTGGAAAATGCAGCCCCTGAACCCCATTTCACTTTGTGAACACGACATTTTTATTGGCAGGTTGATCAAGAGAAGACATATGAAAAAATGTCAAGAAAACACAGAGAAGTCTGCCATTGAGAGAAACTTCTTCGGAATGTTTACAAATGGGTGTTTTTTTTTTTTAGAATTGAATAGCGGGCCAGTCACATGCACTTGCAGTTAAACATAATCAGCAATCATGGCAGTTTCTGACAACTCATAAGGCTTGTTCTCCGGTCTTTAACATTTTGTCCCCACGTTGCAGGATCCAGCCCACCAACCTGGCCATGTTGATTGCTCAGATGCAAAAGAATGCAGACGTAGTGGAGAAAAACATCCTCCGATCTGAGCAACTTTTGGCTGAGGTAAGAAGATATACAAAGGCCTCTCTCAATTGTTGATTTTTTTTTTTTTTTTTTTAATCACCGCCCCACGCCACAACTTCTCCCACCAGGATGGAGAAAATGACCGCAATGACGTAGCTTTGAAGCACCAGAATGAGCTCTGTGACATTCTGGGTGAAGCCGAGAGCCTGCTGAAGAACCTCTTCTTGGATGTGGACACAGCCAAGAAGCTCAAACACCCGCAGGCCAGAGAGATCGAGAGCGAGTGAGTTGTTCTCTCCAACAGCCACTCGAACCCACTGGTGACGTCAGTCAATTTTGCGTTGCGAAATGACATTTTGGCTCCCTCTATAGATGGGTTGTGTTATTTCATTTGCTTGATGACAACCCGTGATTTTGTGGTCTTATTTTTAAGAATCTCTTAAAAATAAGATATGTCTCTTAATAAGAGACATATCTATACACATAAGCCTTACTTTTGTTTTCAGTGTCCTCCACCTCCACGAGCGCTGGCTGAAGGACTGTACTTTCTATCGAGATATCTATGAGCAGATTGACGACGTGTCACTGATGCCCAGGATCGACTGGGCACCTGTTTTTAATACCAAGCAAGTAGGTTTCACAACAGGGTCTTACCGCCTCAGACCAAATTAAAATGGCAGCAGCGTTAAGTCAATTGCTCCTGTGTGTACGTTTTCAGGCACAAGTAAGCAGTAACCTGTATGGGCCTACCATCGCAGAATTGGAGAAGCAGATTGCTTCTCACAAACTCTTGCACCAGGAAATTGAGGCCTACAACCCACAGCTGTGCGTCAGCTCTGCCGGTACAAAGGTGAACGAACGCTACCAAACACCTGGCAATGTGTTCACGCGTTTTTTTCCCCCTTTTTTTTCAACTTCATGAAACCCATTTTGTTGTTGTAAAAGACATGATATCATCTTGTCTTCCAGGAGAACTACACGGCCCTCAAGAAACAGTACAACAATCTTCTGGTGAGTGTCTTGCTAGGTATTAGTAGGAGACTGGACTGTATACCTTTGTTGTGTGTTCAACCACCCCCTGGTCCCCCATAGGATTTATTTTGTGATTTCCTGTCTTGATTTTCTGTTTTGTTGCATTACTTTTGCTTTTCCGAGTGTTGTTGAAGTCATCGCTGATTTACGTTTTCGGAGGCGGTCATTGAACGCCCCTCGAGTAGAAGGTACGAAGACGGAGAAAGAGAAGAACGTACCTGTTGGTGCTTGAGTAAAACGAATTAAAGTGCATGTTTCAAAAGAACCAACACGACAGCTCTCTTTATTTCGGAGCTGCAACATATTTATACAAAATTCAGTTGAAAATCTGCTATCTGCTTAGTAAATCCAATTAGAACCTATTCAGTACCAATATTTGATTGAAAAAGGTACAAAAAAATCATTGAGATTCAAAACCTCTTTTCCATAAGTGACTTGGCCAAGACTGCTATTAAGAAGGCTTTAGTGCAATGGTGTACAAAGGGGAGGCATCCGCAGACTCTCCCCTATCCCCTGCTGCTGTCTCACACATGTTTTTGCCCCTCTCAAAGGAAACCTCCAAGTGGCGTGGCCACTACTTGGGCAGCCTTTATGAGTACATGCAGGGCTGCAACAAGGAGCTGACTTTCCTGGAAGAGGAGCAGGATAAGATCAAGAAGAGGGACTGGAGTGACCGAATGGTGGATCCTCCAGATGTCCGCCGGCAGTATGAGGTCAGAATTGACCAGTAACTGATAATGGTGTGGATTGAGACATTGTGTGCGCTAACCCGGGTTGAATGTGTTGACATTTCCAGAACTTCAAGAACAACAGTTTGTTGTCACATGAGAGCGAGGTGAACAAACTCCAGGACGAGGGAGACAGACTTATTGAGAACAAGCACCCTGCCAGCGCTCTCATACAGGTGCACAACCAACGCTATTATTTTACATATAAATAGTTACATTTCTATTCACAGCAGCACATTTTTCTATTTTTGCAATTCTCCAACTGGGTTTATCTGAATGAAAAAATCGTGCGGCATGGTCCACTTACAGCAGGGGTGTCAAAGTCAAATGGACGGAGGGCCAGATAAAAATTTTTGCTGCAAGCCGAGGGCCGGACTGATCGAATGTTCATTGAAAATTTTAAAAATAACCACATATTGTTTATTGAACCAAATTTAATTGACTGAAAACCTAACAAATACATTCCAATACGGTCAGATAAATAAAGCAACATTTTTTTATGGCTATGTCAGTAAACTTTAATTTTCAACAGGCACAAAAAATTTCCTTTGTATAAAAAATCCCCATAACATGAATGAAAGAAGCCGATATTATTCAAGGCACTATCACTAGTCCATATTTTCTCTTTTAGCAAAAGTAGGCTAAATTTACTTAAAAGAAAAACAAATAATAGTGCAATAATTTTCGATCATTTAC